GGTTCTTCCTACACCTCCCTCTTTGTCCCTCTGCTCTTTTGAAGTGCACTGTATTAATCTCACTTCTCCTGTTTGTCTGAGGATCACAGTCATCTACTGGCTTCCTGGCCCAGTTTCACGCTTTCTTGATGACTTCTCTGCATGGCTACTCTACTTTCTCTCCTCTGAGGTGGCCACCATCATCCTCGGTGACTTTAACATCCCAGTCAATGTTAACACCTCAGCCACTTCTCAACTAGTCAATCTAACCTCCTCTTTTAACCTAACACAATGGACACAAACCACTACCCACTCTAACGGCAACACTTTCGACCTTGTATTCTCCCACCTATGCATTTTCTGTAACCTCTCTAACACCCCTTTTCCTCTCTCTGATCACAAATTTATCAGCTTCACACTCTCCCTGTCTCTTACCTTCTATGCCTCCAACCAGCAAATAGTTGCCAGTATAAACCTTAACCACCTCAGCCCTGACCTTCTCCACTCTGCTACTGAGTGCCTTTATGATAAAATTGTGCCCCTATCCTGACCATATCTGGCCACATCTGCCTACAACAACTTACTATCATCCTCCCTGGACGCACTTGCTTCACACACAGAACCAGGCCTCACCTGTCACAACCCTGGCAAACAGAAGTCTCAAGAGATGCAGCCGTGCTTTTGAGCAAGCATGAGATAAAACTAAATCCCTGCAAGACTTTACCCTCTACAAATCCGCCCTTCTCAAATACAACTCCAGCCTCCACGCTGCTAAACAAACCTACTACAACACTCTCATCAAAACCCTCTCATCCAATCCTCGTCAACACTTTTTTACCCTTAATTCCTTATTCCATTCCCCACTGCCTCCACCCACCAACGTATTGCACAGGAGATTGCCAATTATTTCAAGAACAAGATCGACACAATTCGCAATGAGATCTCCAGTGTCAAGCTTCCTCCTCCAACCAACATATCAGGCCCAACACCATACTTAGTACTCTCCTCTTTCAACCCTATTACCACCGAGGAAGTTATCGAACTCCTTTCCAAGGCTCACTCCATGACCTGTCCCCTGGACCCTGTCCCCTCATGACTATTGCAGCCTCCTCTCTGCTCTATCCTAAACTCTCTAACCCACATCTTCAACCTCTCACTCTCCACAGGCACCTTTCCCTCCCCACTCAAACATACACTGGTTACCCCCATACTTAAAAACCCTCGCTGGTCCTCACCTGTTTGAATAACCTACAACCCATCTCTCTACTCCCGTTTGCCTCCGAGATTCTCGAGCACCTTGTTCACAACCGTATGAATTGCTACCTCACTGACAACAACCTTCTCGATCCTCTACAGTCTGGCTTCCGCCCATAACATTCCACTGAAACTGCCCTACTAAAACTCACTAATGACCTACTAACTGCTAAAACCAATGGCCATTACTCCATACCCATATGCCTAGACCTTTCCACTGCTTTTGACACAGTCGACCACCTGCTCCTCCTCAGTAATCTCCACACCATTGGCCTCCATGACTCTGCTCTCTCCTGGTTCTCCTCTTAACTATCTCAGCGCACTTTCAGCGTCATATAGAACAACTCCTCCGCTCCTCTTCCTCTTTCTGTTGGGGTACCCCAAGGCTCTGTCTTTGGGCCCCTCCTTTTCTCTCTCTACACCTCCTTCCTGGGTCAGTTGATACCCTCCCATGGTTTCCAATAACACCTCTATGCTGATGACACCCAGATCTATCTCTCTACACCCCAGCTCACCCCTGCAATCTCCTCACGTATCACAAATTTCCTGAGTAACATATCAGTATGGATGTCACACCACTACCTTCAACTCAATCTTTCCAAACCCAAGCTTGCTATATTTACTTCTCCCCGATCCTCCACTTGTGACTTTATCATTAAGATCAACAGCACAACCATTGGTCCTTCCTCTCATGCCAGGGTGCTCGGCGTACTCCTAGACTCTGACCTCTCCTTCACATCCAATCACTGGCTAAATCCTACCGCATCAACCTCTGCAACATCCAAAATCCGCCCCTTTCTGACCAATGACACCATAAAACAACTTACCCACGCCTTAAATATATCCCACATTGATTACTGCAACTCCCTCCTCACTGGTCTACCATTACACAGGTTTTTTCCCCCCTTCAGTCTATTATGAATGCTGCTGTTAGACTCATACACCTTACCAACCGATCAGTGACTGCAGCCCCTCTCTGCCAATCCCTTCACCTGCTTCCACTAACCCAACGTATAAAATGTAAAATACTAACCACAACCTACAAAGCCATCCACAACACTGCCCCTAGCTACATCACCAACCTCATCTGCAGATATCGTCCAAACTGCCCGCTCCGCTCCTCCCAAGACATCTTACTCTCTAGCTCTCTTGTCGCCTCTTCCCACGCTTGCCTCTAGGACTTCTCCAGAGCCTCTCCCATCCTTTGGAACTCCCTACCCCAGTATGTCCGGTCAGCCCCCACCCTGAATGCCGATCTTTGAAAACTCACTTGTTCAGGGAAGCTTACCCAACCTCCACCTAAGAACTGTATTTGAGCCACCTCCATCAGATCATCCCCTGCAGCTATCACCTTTTGTACCACCTCCCCCTTCCATTAGATTGTAAGCTCCTCGAGCAGGGCCCTCCTATTCTTTCTGTATTGAAATGTATTGTAATTGTACTGTCTCCCTTTATATTGTAAAGTGCTGTGCAAACTGTTGGCACTATATAAATCCTATATAATAATAATAAAAATAATAATAATAATACATGGCTTGTCTCAACCCTCTAGCTGGTAAATATATAGGACAGCTTGTTCTGTTGAAAATCAACAGACTTACTGGCAGGATCACCAATTGAAAACAAAGGTGAGAAAACCTAAAAAAGAAAAAAAAAATACAACCATCACATCCAAGAATTGGTAGGCTGCAATATACTGTAATAAATACTTTCGTTTTGAATTAATACCACTTTAATTCTTTTTTTTTATTTCCCTTTTTGTGTCACTTCTGGACATTGGTTGCTAAACCCTGCTAATAAACTAGCTTGCGGTGATTGTAGCCATATTAGTGCACTTGCGGCAGAAACAATTGAATACTGTCTATGATACTTTTTTTTATTTGCAGAAACATTCAATTTTCAGGTCAAGCTTTTGAGGGAAGTCCCCTTCTTCAAGGTCCAAGCAGTACTACTTTACAAAGTTTTAGCAGAATGTTAAAAGAAACAATCTCTAAGGGGAAAAAAAGGAAACAGAAAAAGAAACACACACAAACAAATGTACACAGGCTAATAAACTTTAGAGGGAAGTGTGTGTAAGGAATGTTGAGAGGAATCACAAGACTCACTAAAGAATAACAAACATTAAAAAAACATTAAATGATCACTCTTTTCTCATTTAAAGGTAGCTGTGGGTGTAAAGCAGACTGCATGCTTCCTCTAATAGCACTTTATAGCATCAGCTTTTATTAAATAATAACGTCACAAGGGGTGGAGCTTGTACAGAAGAACATCATCATTCATGTGTACCTAGAGCGGCATTAAGTCTCAATACTGCCCTGCTTTTAACAATGGAGACCTCACAGATGTATTTTGTTGTATTCTTATCTGTATTGTGAAAATATAACTACTACCAGATATTGTTTTGTACAACTCTGACTGCAAGCATATTGTTCACACAACATTGCAGTGAAAGAACAGTTTATATTGCTACATTTCAAGTGTCAGGATAAATGCTGTACATAAGAGGTTAAAGGAAGAAAGTAGGACATGAGCTCTATTCTCTAAACATTGATCCAAAGATTTAGTGACAGTCCTTGAATGGAAATTAATGGTAGGAACACCGCTGTGGAAAGTCTTAGACTGTTACCAATAAATGAATAATATTCCTTTTTACCAAATGGACAACAGAGATGGCTCCTTTTTAAATCCTAATCTACTTAGAGCTGCAGTGACGTTACAAGCAATAATAATTTTGTAATAATTTATTTAAAGCCTAAATGAGTCACAGAAGTGTATATCAAGTCAGACAGAGATTGTACTATGACTCTTCTCTTGTTCCGGTAGTTGAGGGTGATCTCGAGATAGTGTGAAAGGCAAGCATTTCACTTTCCAGGGTGGAATCCTTGACTTATTGTGGGTTACCAAATTGAAGTCACTTTAACCACCTGCTGATCACTCACAGTAAATATACTGCGAGCAGGCGGCAGGTGAGGCATGATCACATATACATTATATTGCCAAAAGTATTGGGACGCCCACCTTTACATGCATATGAACCCTAAAGTGGAGCTCCACCCAAAAGGGGAAGGTCCACTTTAAGTCTTTGGCCCCCTGCTCCCCATTGAGGATTGGCACCTTTGGGGAGTGGGTACCCCAGTTTGACAAGTACCCTCTCCCACTTCCGCTGCGATTGCCTAAGGTGATCGGAAGAGGAAGTTGTCCTCTCCCATCCTCCCCGTATTCTTCTGGGACATGTGACAGGTCCCAGAAGACTACGGGGCCATTCACAAAGCGCAGCACTACTCACGCATGCGCAGTGGGCACCCGGCTGTGGAGCCACAAGCTGTCACAGGCGGGTGCCCACACTGCAGATGCCAGTGCTGGGGAGAGAAGATGGCTGGTAAGTGACTTTATTTTAAAAGTCAACAGTTTTTGTAGATGATGACTTTTTTTCTTAAGCTGGAACTCCTCTTTAATGACATCCCAGTCTTAGTCCATATGGTTCAATATTGAGTTGGCCCACCCTTTGCAGTTATAACAGGTTCAAATCTTCTGGGAAGGCTATGCACAAAGTTTAGGAGTGTGTCTATGGGAATGTTTGACCATTTTTCCAGAAGTGCATTTGTGAGGTCAGGCACTGATGTTGGACGAGAAGGCCTGGCTTGCAGTCTCCACTCTAATTCATCCCAAAGGTGTTCTATGGGGTTGTGGTCAGGACTCTGTGCAGGCCAATCAAGTTCCTCCACCCCAAACTCACTCATCCAAGTTTTTATGGACCTTGCTTTGTGCACTGGTGCGCAGTCATGTTGGAACAGGAAGGGGCCATCCCCAAACTGTTCCCACAAAGTTGGGAGCATGAGTACTGTTCTCCTGGTAACCACCAAACCCAAACATGTCCATCGGATTGCTAGACAGAGAAGCATGATTTCGTCACTCCAAAGCTATTGACTCTGCAGACAGTTGGCGACTTCTGCGTACTGTGCGCTTCAGCATGCATTGACCCTGCTCTGTCATTTTACATAGCCTACCACTTCATGGCTGAGTTGCTGTTGTTCCCAGTTGCTTCCACTTTGTTATAATACCACTAACAGCTGACCGTGGAATATTTAGTAGCAAGGAAATTTCACAGATGGACTTATTACAAAGGTGACAACCTATCACGGTACCATGCTTGAATTCACTGAGCTCCTGAGAGCGACCCATTCTTTAACAAGAATTTGTATAAGCAGTCTGCTTGCTTAGGTGCTTGATTTTATACAACTGTGACCATGGAGGTGTTCGGAACACCTGTCCAATCACACAGAATTCTCTGTACAGGGAACACACAGATTACACTTATTAGACACACAGTTAACCCTTTCATTGGGCCCTTCCCAGGCACTGTCATTAGTACAGTGACTGTGTACAGTATTAGCACTGATCACTGTCTTAGTGTCATGATTGATGATAGTGTCAGTTAGTCAGTTATTGTACCTCCCAGTCGGCATCAGCTAGTGCCAGATTTCCCGCCGCACTCACACAGTCCCACTATAAGTCACTGATCACCGCCATTACTAGCATAGCATTATGGTTGCGTACATTCCGGTGTATATACCACAGTTTGTGGACGCTATAACTTTTGCACAAACCAAATTATATACACTTATTGGGATTTTTTTTTCTTTCACCATAGACAAGTAGCCAAATACATTTTGGCCTACATTTTTGAGGAAATTTTATTTTTTGATTTTTTTATTGGATGTGTTTTATAGCAGAAAGTAGAAAATATTGTTTTTCCCCAAAATGTTCAGCCTTTTTGTGTTTATATAAATAATATATGTATAAATTTCATTTGGGTACAGTGTTGTATGACCACACAATTGCCAGTTAAATTAGTGCAGTGCTGAATTGCAAAACAGCTTTATTGGTTATGAAGGAGGCAAAACCTTACAGAGTGGATGAAGGCAAAAATGTCCAGGAAGACAAGAAAAGTCAATTTGGATCTTCTTTTTTCTCTAAGTAACCCTTAGGCCTCAGCTAAATGCAGGCAGTAATGGGTACGTAAGTTGGTGCCAAAAGCAGTGAAAATTTTTTGCAAAGTTCACCTGCAGCAACTTGTAGCTGTAGGGGTGACCTTAGAGGTTTGGTATATACAAGTTTGGACTGAGCCATGGCTGTTCGGATGTTCAGGGGGAGCCAGAGTACCATTTATATTGGTGGTATTACGTCTTCTATTATACATGACATGTGGTTGTCAAGCTCGCTAGTGGTTCCTTTACTAGTGATGTCACCTGGCCCCAAGATGACTTTCACTTACATGGCTTGAAATCCCTGATGGATTCCAGTGGTTTCATTGACCAAATGTGGTCAAGTCCAATATGGTCAATTACAAGACCCTGCCCCTTCATTTATAGATCAGCTTTCATATATCAAAACTGTCAGAAGTGGTCAAGCAATCATTGCAGTAGGATTATGGGTTTTTTATTTTGGCGGGTCTGCAGGCATCAGGCAATGTGATTGATGTGGATCTACATTGCTGAATGATGTAATTGAGGATGGATGTATGTAAGGTATATATTTTTTTAAATTAAAGGCCTTATTAAAAACTGTGTGCCAGGTTTTTGGAGAAGTCCTTGTTTTCATCAACATGGGAACAAGGTTTCTTGCTGAGTGGGGGTCCTCCATGACAAGGTATCCACCATGTAAAGGACATGTGGCCTGGTATAGTTAAGGAGGGAGGGTGCACAATCACCCTTCCTATTTTTTCTGGCCAGCCAGGCTGCATGCTCAGGTAAGGGTTTGGTATGTTTTTTTTTTTTTGTGGTGGTGGGGGGGTCAAGGGATTCCCTTAATTTGCAGGGGTTTTTCTCACACTTTGGCTATGTGACAGGAAGTGAAGGTAAATCTCCCAAAGGGACACAGATGGCAAAAGAAAAACGAATATTTTGATATTTGCATAACTCTTCTCAGGTGCCAGCTCCCTGTTTGTATCAAGGCTGAGAAATCCTGAGAGGAGTACTGAGGAATGGTGCTATGATCTTTTCAGGAAGCCATGTACAGCACCCTGCTGTCTGCTCTCACCAGCTATGATCTTCCTGCCTTTGTGTAGATAAACACAGAGATCCAGTGTTCGGGAGTTCAGGGGGAGCCTAACATTTTGATATTTGTATGACTCCTGTCAAGTGCCAGCTCCCTGTTTGTATCAAGGCTGGTAACTCCTAAGAGGAGTACTGAGGCATGGTGCTATGATCTTTTCAGGAAGCCATGTACAAAACCCTACTGTCTCCTCCCACTAGCCATAATCTGCCTGCATTGTGTAGAGAAACACAGAGATCCAGTGAGGATGTAAGTGGGTCTAAACTAGGGTATGTAATGAACACAGAAATATTTTATTTATTTTTTTAATAATAGAGGGGAAGGAGAAACAAGGGAAGACAAAATATAAGCAGATTAAACTTCTGACTTAATTGCAACACTCTAAACTTTTGACACTGTGATGAACAGTTGTTAATTTGTTTTTATTTAACAGAATGAAATTAGTAAATGCAGAGGAAGTACCTTAGTTGTCATTTGTTTGAAGGTAATTTAATGAAACCCAGAGAGTGTTATTACCCAAGACTGCAATTAACCTGAGCAGATTCATTAAACCACACAATCAGCAGGATATGGACGCTTTACATTTAACTGACTTTTTTTGTTGTCTGCATGTTAACCGCTTGCCGCCCTGCCACTGTGTATATACGTGTGCATGGCGGCAGTGGAGCGCAAAACCACGTTTAAAAACGGGTTCCGCGCTCCAGACACTTTCGCCGGCAGGGGGCGCGCGCGCGCGCGCTCCCGCCGACCCGCGGGTGACACTATTTGATCCAGGAGGGATCAATCATTAGATTTCAGCCAGTGATTTATGGCTGAAATCACATGATCGGTCCATGTCCTGTCCTGTCCTGTGTTGACATACACAGGGCAGGATATGATGTCATTCTTCTCTGCCTGGACACATTCCGTTCCAGACAGAGAAGAAGACATCCAAAAAGTGAGTACACAAGCACTACACTACAGTTAGAACACTTTTAGGACACATTTAACCCCCGGATCGCCCCCCCCCCCTCCAGTTAACCCTTCACTGCCCTGTCACCAGTGTTACTGATCAGTGAAGCGATTTTTACTGATCAGTGTCGCTGGCGACTTCCGATAGAGTTAGCGCCCCTCCCAGATAGCGCCAGATTGCCCGCCAGTACACCAGTAATCCCGTTTAACCCCTTGATCGCCCCCCCTCCAGTTAACCCCTTCACTGCCCTGTCACCCAGTGTCACTGATCAGTGAACCAATTTTTACTGATCACTGTATCAGTGTCGCTGGCGACTTCCGATAGAGTTAGCGCCCCTCCCAGATAGCGCCAGTTTGCCCGCCAGTACACCAGTAATCCCGTTTAACCCCTTGATCGCCCCCCCCCTCCAGTTAACCCCTTCACTGCCCTGTCACCCAGTGTCACTGATCAGTGAACCAATTTTTACAGATCACTGTATCAGTGTCGCTGGCGACTTCCGATAGAGTTAGCGCCCCTCCCAGATAGCGCCAGATTGCCCGCCAGTACACCAGTAATCCCGTTTAACCCCTTGATCGCCCCCCCCTCCAGTTAAACCCTTCACTGCCTGTCACCCAGTGTCACTGATCAGTGAACCAATTTTTACTGATCACTGTATCAGTGTCGCTGGCGACTTCCGATAGAGTTAGCGCCCCTCCCAGATAGCGCCAGTTTGCCCGCCAGTACACCAGTAATCCCGTTTAACCCCTTGATCGCCCCCCCCCCCCTCCAGTTAACCCCTTCACTGCCCTGTCACCCAGTGTCACTGATCAGTGAACCAATTTTTACTGATCACTGTATCAGTGTCGCTGGCGACTTCCGATAGAGTTAGCGCCCCTCCCAGATAGCGCCAGATTGCCCGCCAGTACACCAGTAATCCCGTTTAACCCCTTGATCGCCCCCCCCCCCCCCCGTTAAACCCTTCACTGCCCTGTCACCCAGTGTCACTGATCAGTGAACCAATTTTTACTGATCACTGTATCAGTGTCGCTGGCGACTTCCGATAGAGTTAGCGCCCCTCCCAGATAGCGCCAGTTTGCCCGCCAGTACACCAGTAATCCCGTTTAACCCCTTGATCGCCCCCCCCCAGTTAACCCCTGCACTGCCCTGTCACCAGTGTCACTGATCAGTGAACCAATTTTTACTGATCACTGTATCAGTGTCGCTGGCGACTTCCGATAGAGTTAGCGCCCCTCCCAGATAGCGCCAGATTGCCCGCCAGTACACCAGTAATCCCGTTTAACCCCTTGATCACCCCCCCCCTCCAGTTAACCCCTTCACTGCCCTGTCACCAGTGTCACTGATCAGTGAACCAATTTTTACTGATCACTGTATCAGTGTCGCTGGCGACTTCCGATAGAGTTAGCGCCCCTCCCAGATAGCGCCAGCTTGCCCGCCAGTACACCAGTAATCCCGTTTAACCCCTTGATCGCCCCCCCCCAGTTAACCCCTTCACTGCCCTGTCACCAGTGTCACTGATCAGTGAACCGATTTTTACTGATCACTGTATCAGTGTCGCTGGCGACTTCCGATAGTGTTCACGCCCCCTCCCAGATAGCGCCAGTTTGCCTGCTAGTGCACCAGAAATCCCATTTAACCCCTTGATTGCCCCCCCCCCAGTTAACCCCTTCACTGCCCTGTCACCAGTGTCATTGATTACAGTGAACAGATTTTTACTGATCACTGTATTAGTGTCACTGGTGACTTCCGATAGTGGTGGTGCGCCCCTCCTAGATAGCGCCAGTTTGCCCGCTAATGCACGGGATTTTTTTTACCAAAAACATGTAGCAGAATACATTTTGGCTTAAATTTATGACTAACTTTGAGTTTACGATATATTTTTTATAGCTGAAAGTAGAAAATATTGTTTTTTTAAAAAATTTTTGTGTTTTTTTTTGTTTATAGCGCAAAAAATAAAAAGCGCACAGGTGATCAAATACCACCAAAAGAAAGCTCTATTTGTGTGAAAAAAAGGACGTAATTTTCGTTTGGGTGCAGCATTGCATGACCGCGCAATTATCATTTGAGTTAGTGCAGCGCTGTATAGCAAAAAAAGGCATAAATTACAGTATCTATACCATAGTTTGTAGACGCTATAACTTTCACACAAAGCAATCAATATACACTTATTGGGATTTTTTTTACCAAAAACATGTAGCAGAATACATTTTGG